GGATAACAATCCCCACCCCGTGGGGTGTCGAGAGGCCTGCGGTGGTGAAGAGCAAGAAGCTTCTAGAACAGCTATGGGCAAACTACAGCCCGCGGCCGGATCCGCCCGTTTGAAATGAATAAAACCAAAAAAAAAAAAAAAAACCATACCCTTTTATGTAATGATGTTTACTTTGAATTTACATTAGTTCACACAAACACTCCATCCATGCTTTTGTTCCGGCCCTCCGGTCCAGTTTAAGAACCCATTGTGGCCCTCGAGTCAAAAAGTTTGCCCACCCCTGGTCTAGAACCAGCCACCTGGGTAGTCTGGCCCCCCTGCTTCTCTCTGGGTAACTGCAGGGAGCAGCAGCTTGGTGTCTGCCTCAGATGCCGCGACTGTGGCAGTGGGAGCAGCTAGAGCCCCGAGCCATCGGGCTGTTGGGAGGCAGCAGCCCAGCACTTCCAAAGACTCAGTGGGCGTGACCTCGCGTGACGCACAGCCCGCAGAGCAACACGTGGCCCAGGCGTGGGGCCTGCCTCCCTCCGGCGCCCCTCTCCGTCTCTTCTCCCCCTCCCCTCACGCCCTCTGTGCCCCGGCCACGGGCCAGACTCCCCTTCCTCCAGCTCTCCAGGAAAACACAGTTCTGGAGCCGAAAGTGGCCCCAGTGTCCAGTCCTTCCTGGAGCTGTTGACAGTTCTAGCTGCTGCTCCTGGAGGCGGGGCACCGGGCAGAGCAGCCGTGTGCTCCTGGAGACTGTCCCCACGGCTGGTCACAGCCCCTCCACCTGCTCCCATGCACGACCAACTTGGCTCTGGCCACCTTTCTCTCACTGCCACGGCGCCAGGCCCACGCCTCCTGGCAGCGCCGTTGCATAGAAGCTGGGATCAAAGAAGGGCGGAGTGGGGAAAGCCCTGGCGGAGTGGAGGTCAGCTACGCCCCTGCCTGGTTCTCAGGTGGGCAGTGGCTTGCCCAGGTTCACACAGCGATGAAAGGTGTAGTCGAGTCTCGAGCCCAGTTCTTCCAGCTCTTATCAGATAGTAAAAAAAACAAAAACAACCAAACAACAACAACAACAAATACACAATCAAAAGAAGTTTTGAGTCCTGGCTGGTTTGGCTCAGTGGATAGAGCGTCGGCCTGTGGACTGAAGGGTCCCAGGTTCGATTCCGGTCAAGGGCACATGCCCAGTTGTAGGTTCAATCCCCAGTACGGGGCGTGCAATTCTCATCATTGATGTTTCTCTCTCTCTCACTTTCTCCCTTCCTCTCTGAAATCAATAAAACCATATTTTGAGAGAGAGAGAGAGAGAGAGAGAGAGAGAGAGAGAGAGAGGTTTTGAGAGGTGCTAGAAAGGGCCTGGGGGGTGCTGGCACTTGAGACTGAGAGGATGGGGAGGCCTCACTAAACTGACCCCATGCAAAGGCCTGAGGAGGGAGCAGCTTGCCGCTCCGAGGCCAGTGTGGCCAGAGCCGAGTGAGTGAGGAGAGATGCAGCCCACGTGGGCGGCACCGCCATCATGCACAGCCTTGCAGACCTCCGACGGTT